CCCCCCCCCCCCCCCCCCTGGGGCAGTGCCACTGACTGCAGAGTCTTTAAGCCATTCCCAAAAGGGGGACATTTCTCGTTCAAGCACAGTAGAATTGTAAATGGGCAGATTCATGTCACGCTCATAACTGTGCCTGATCTACAACAGGGAACTGCTGCTTTTTCTTTCTTAATCCTTACTATTGTCATTTTTCCTCTACTTTTTTTGTATGTTTTGTCACACTCTTGTGACTTGCTATTTCCGGGGAGCCTTGACAGTCGAAGCAGACTTTGCGCTGTTGAAGCTAGAGAGGTGAGCAGAGTAAGTCTGATTCCCTGTAAAGACTTCTCTGTTGACATCCACCCCTTGGCGCTCATATGACCTTATGCAGTTGCGAGCGCCGTAAGACCCTCTACTAAAAAAATTTATAGATAAAAGTACAAATTTTATGGACTGTATGTAAATAACTGTAAATGTTTCAGTATTTTCCAGTTCTATATATAGATCTATATATATTCATTTATGGTTATTTTGACGAATCATTTGACTAGGTGCAAACTGTTTTAGTTTAACCAAAAATTATACAATTTATTTTTCTCAAATTTTATGCGCATCCAAGCAAAATTGTGTTGCGTAATCGCCTCTTACAGGAACCAAAGTAGAAAAATACACAAATCAACATTACAGAGGTGAGCCTACTCTACAAATCATACTGAAAATGTTGGTATATAATATGTTGATATTTATTTGAATTTGTGGCCCCAAAGACCTGTGAACTGCCCACTAGTCATCGTCTCATTCGCCCTCCCGAAAAAAAATTGTCCACAAGCCGAAAATAATCAGTAACGAATGAATTAAATACTCAAGTGTCAGCCAACTTTTTTTTTTTTTTTTTTTTTTTTTTTTGGGGGAGGGGGTGTTCTTATCGTGCTTTCAACAATGATCAATGATGGTAGTGGTGGTGGAGATGATGATGACAATGATGATGATGGGGATGAGAATGAGGAAGGTGATGGCGGTGATGGTAGTGGTGGAGATAATGATGACAATGACGATGATGATGATGATGATACAGATGCTGCTGAAGCAGATGATGATGAGAATATGCCAGAATGAGGGAATGAGGCAGCGTGCGGCGCCCACCGTGTGGTTCTTGGGCGCGGTCTGGGCAAACTTCTCCAGGTTGTACAAGGACAGTTTGTGAGCCTTTTGGAGCACGGCACAGTCGGGGTGGTCGCTGGGTGTGTACTTCAGCAGGTCCTGGACACAACACACCACAAAGTGTTTACTACAGGTCACAAAACACAACACACAACACACGACACACAACACACAACACACGACACACAACACACCACAAAGTGTTTACTACAGGACTTGTACAATACATCTTGACCACAAAACACAACACACGACACACACAGGACTTGTACAATACATTTTGACCACAAAACACAACACACGACACACACAGGACTTGTACAATACATCTTGACCACAAAACACAACACACGACACACACAGGACTTGTACAATACATCTTGACCACAACACACAACACACAACACACGACACACAGGACTTGTACAATACATCTTGACCACAACACACAACACACGACACACACAGGACTTGTACAATACATCTTGACCACAAAACACAACACACTAGTTACTACAAGACCTTTACCATTCATTCTGGCCACAAAACACAACAAACTATTTACTAGAGGACTTTTACCATTCATCAAACATCCTCTTTTTCTAGCGGTGATTTTGCTCATGTAGAAAAGTCCCACTCCACACAGAGCACAGACAATCAGGAGACACGAAGCCGACAAATGTTGTAAGTCTAACCCCAAAGGCTTCTGTTCCAACCACAATATATATATGTATTTCCTTTGCTCTTAGTCTACAAGGAACCAACAGACTTACTACTTGCTGGGTTCAGTTTTCTCTCAGTACAATGACTACAACAGGTAACAACTGATAATTGTCCGGGGTCAACGCCCTGTCAACACTAGACTGTTCCTTATGGCGACCTCTGAACCCTCCACTCATCTCTGATAGGACTGAGCAAACAACACCACAGCCTTCGACACTCAAACAAAGCTGGAGATAATCATAAACCGCGGGTCATCACGACCTTGGAACGATAACGACTACCACAAGTCCCACCGTTCTGCGAAAAGACTTCTCACAACCCAGTTTTCTTCCAACACCATGTGTGGATTTTATTCCTCACGGTGCAGAAACATTTCGCCCCAGATTTCCTGAAATTTCTTTCCTTCATTTTCAGTCAAAGTCAACAAGACAAGAAATATTTGACAATGATCATTGACTGAATACAGAGGAGAAGCTCTAGTATCTCTTATCTCTATGACAAGTACCCACAATGCTGGTGGGTGGTTGGTGGGTGCTCTGGTGTGGTTTGTTCCTTCTTTCCAATCAAATATCTATTGTTCCTTATATCTGCTCCTTCTTGTTTGTGTAGGTCACTCTCTTGTAGCACCTGTACTCCTAGGTACTTTAAGGACCGTATTGAGGTACAAGTGCTGTAAAACTCTCACTAAAACTAAAACAAAAAGCTGGTTAGAAAGAACAAAACATGTTTGTGACAGAATCAATAAGAGAGATAAGAAATGTAACACAATACCGCTACATGTTTAGCTAAATGTAACACAGTACCATTACATGTGTAGCTAAATGTAACACAGTACTGCTACATGTGTAGCTAAATGTAACACAGTACCGCTACATGTGTAGCTAAATGTAACACAGTACCGCTACATGTGTAGCTAAATGTAACACAGTACCGCTACATGTTTAGCTAAATGTAACACAGTACCGCTACATGTGTAGCTAAATGTAACACAGTACCGCTACATGTGTAGCTAAATGTAACACAGTACCACTACACGTTTAGCTAAATGTAACACAGTACCATTACACGTGTAGATAAATGTAACACAGTACCACTACACGTTTAGCTAAATATAACACAGTACCGTTACACGTTTAGCTAAATTTAACACAGTACCGCTACACGTTTAGCTAAATGTAACACAGTACCGTTACACGTTTAGATAAATGTAACACAGTACCACTACACGTGTAGATAAATGTAACACAGTACCACTACACGTTTAGCTAAATGTAACACAGTACCGTTACACGTTTAGATAAATGTAACACAGTACCACTACACATGTAGCTAAATGTAACACAGTACCGCTACATGTGTAGCTAAATGTAACACAGTATCGCTACATGTGTAGCTAAATGTAACACAGTACCACTACACGTGTAGCTAATTGTAACACAGTACTGCCACAACCACTTACATTTAGCACCAGGGTGTTACGTTGAACTCTCTGCACTGGCTTGAAGAGGGCATCTGTAGGAAGGGGGGGGGAGGGAATCACATTTCTACAGTCTGTCATTCATGGGGAGAATCACATTTGTACAGTCTGTCATTCACTCACAAATCAAATCTTTCAATTTATTCTAAATCCAACTCAAAGCATTTTCTATTCTTAGATTAAAGAGAGGTATCTAGAGAGGTATCTAGAGAGGTATCTAGAGAGGTATCTAGAGAGGTATCTAGACTTTCAGTCAGAACACAATCTACTATCAATTTGTTGATTTACTCCAATACTCAACTGTCTATTTGTTGATTTATTCAACTGTCTATTTGTTGATTTACTCCAATACTCAACTGTCTATTTGTTGATTTATTCAACTGTCTATTTGTTGATTTATTCAACTGTCTATTTGTTGATTTACTCCAATACTCAACTGTCTAGTTGTTCATTTATTCAACTGTCTATTTGTTGATTTATTCAACTGTCTAGTTGTTGATTTACTCCAATACTCAACCGTCTATTTGTTGATTTATTCAACTGTCTAGTTGTTGATTTACTCCAATACTCAACTGTCTATTTGTTGATTTATTCAACTGTCTAGTTGTTGATTTACTCCAATACTCAACTGTCTATTTGTTGATTTACTCCAATACTCAACTGTCTAGTTGTTGATTTATTCAACTGTCTAGTTGTTGATTTACTCCAATACTCAACTGTCTATTTGTTGATTTATTCAACTGTCTAGTTGTTGATTTACTCCAATACTCAACTGTCTATTTGTTGATTTACTCCAATACTCAACTGTCTAGTTGTTGATTTATTCAACTGTCTATTTGTTGATTTATTCAACTGTCTATTTGTTGATTTATTCAACTGTCTATTTGTTGATTTATTCAACTGTCTAGTTGTTGATTTACTCAACTGTTTATTTGTTGATTTACTCAACTGTTTATTTGTTGACTTACTCTATTCTACTCCGTGTTTGTGAATTGCTATTGTCCACATAAAAACAGAGTGAGTGGTTGGTGGGTGCTCTGGTGTGGTTTGCTCCTTCTTTCCTATCAAAAATCTATCGTCCTTATCACTCCTCCTTCTTTTTCGTGTTTGTTACTCTCTTGTAACACCCCTAATCTTCAACACTTATATGACCTTATTGTGTTTGTTACTCTCTTGCAACACCTCTAATCTTCAACACTTATATGACCTTATTGTGTTTTTTACTCTCTTGTAACACCTCTAATCTTCAACACTTATATGACCTTATTGTGTTGCAAGTGCCTTAAAATGCTAACAAAACTACAACAAGAACAGGAACCCTGTGACCTCCTCCCTCACTCACCCTCCAGACTGGTGACCTCTCGTATCGTGGAGTTGACGATGATTTGCTGAAAACAAAAGGAAACAGAAGAAACTTTGGTGAAATCAGCTGACATAACGGTGGAAGGCACACAGGATTCCAAATGATGGGAGGTTAAAACGTGGAGCACAAAAAACAATAATTTGGAATATTAACCTGACTTTTTACGAATTTATGTACGTCATTAGAATATACCAACAGAGAGACAGCGTACAACTGATGTACAACATTAGAATATATACCAACAACTGATGTACAACATTAGAATATATACCAACAACTGATGTACAACATTAGAATATATACCAACAACTGATGTACAACATTAGAATATACCAACAACTGATGTACTACATTAGAATATACCAACAACTGATGTACTACATTAGAATATACCAACAGAGAGACAGCGTACAACTGATGTACAACTAACATTACAACTTTATAAAGAACATGACAAAAGAACATAACAAAAGAACATGACAAAAGAACATGACAAAAGAACATGACAAAAGAACATGACAAAAGAACATGACAAAAGAACATGACAAAAGAACATAACAAAAGAACATAACAAAAGAACATAACAAAAGAACATAACAAAAGAACATGACAAAAGAACATGACAAAAGAACATGACAAAAGAACATGACAAAAGAACATAACAAAAGAACATAACAAAAGAACAACAAAGGAACATGACAAAACAACAACAAAAACACACAAGAAAAGAGCGGGACAACCTCTGACCTCTGCCAGTTCCTGGAAGCGAGAACTCTCCTGTGAGCAGCGGTGTATTGTGCTGACCGCCTCTTGGTAGTGCGTCAGGTAGTGCTTGAACGCGTCGAAACGCATCACCTACACAGGACACACGCCGCCGAGAGAGACGGGAATACAGAGAGTTTTACGGCTCTTGCAAAACTAAAAATTCATGTAAGTGCTGAATATTAAAGGTGCTACAAGAGAATACCAAACACAAAAAAGAAGGAGGGGAGATAAAGACGATAGATGTTTGATAGCAAAGAAGGAGCAGACCACACCAGAGCACCCACCAACCTCCCACAATTTGTTTCTGTGAAGTAAATAAAGATAAACAGAAATTTTTCTTAAAGGAAGAAATGATAAACATAGAAGCAAACAATAATAATGATAATAATAATGATAATAATAATGATAATGATAATGATA